GCGTCTCTCTCTCTCTCTCTCTCTCTCTCTCTCTCTCTCTCTCTCTCTCCTCCGTATTCCCTCGGGAGAAGAAGCCAATGGTGCCACCCAGCCATAAAAGTGCCGCGAAGACGGGAAATCGGCCTCACAAGCAACTATTGTTAATGTTGCAGTACAAGCTCCCAACGTTGGTGACAATTTTTTCAGACAGGTTTGCTATGCATTCCGATTCTCTTTGGTCTTTGTTTTTCTTCCTTGGCCTTTGATCTAGACTTCACATACTCGAAGTCGCCAAAGAACAGGCCTGTATTTGTTCCATAATTCACACGGTGTTCAGGCAGCATTCCAACCCAAAAAAAAAGCAGTCCAAGAAAGTACAAGATCCCGAAAAGGAGGGGAAAAACATTCGGCACAAAATAGGCTTTTTTTTTTTAATTTTGCTTTCTAGTTTAAAAGGATATATTACATTCTAATAGAGAGGAGGGAAAACCAGAAAATTAAAGTTCAAAATTTAAAAGGAGACAGTTCTCAAACGATGGCATGCCAATAGCCAATAAACATTTGAAAAAAAATATTCAATATCCTTAGTTATCAGGAAAGCTAAAATTGTACTGAAATTCCATCTCACCCCAAACAGAATATGAATGCCTACCATTCGAGAAAGTAACAAGCCTTGGTGAAGATGGGGCCTGAGACCCTTAAATTCTGCTGGTGGGTATATAAATTAGCCCAGCCACCAAGACCATCAGTAAAGCTAGGCATTCCTAAGAAAAGGAAAACGAGAATTACCACGTGACCCAGCTCGGTGGCCCCTGGGTGTAACTGAAAGGCTCTGAGACAACACTGGACAGATACCTCCAATGTGTGTTTCTTGCAGCCCTATTCACAATAGCCAAGTTCTGGAATCAGCCTGGGTGACTAACAGACCACCATAGCAGCAGTAAAGCCCCAGGAAGAAAAAGCAATGTTCTCTGGTCATGAATGAAATCTAACACTACAGTTGGGCAGCATCAGTGACCTGGCTAAGGGATCGTCCCTCAGGACGGTAGGACAACCCTAAATAAAGCCAGGCCACCTGAAGCCATGCTAGAGAGGGGCAGAATAACTCATCATTTTAATGAGATAATATACTTCTTCCCTGAACTCTCCCTGAGCGTGGTCCTTACAAGCGGCCATGACATTCCTTGGGTGGGCTCACCTGAGTGCTGAATTTCCCTTTTTCTTTTTCCTATATTCTTCTTCCTGTACTGGCCAAAACCTGAGTATGTTTTTGCTGATACTCTGAACTCCCTTAATCTTTCTCCAAAGTCCCCTCTCCACTGTGTAGCTGCCATCTGCTGTGCAGATCTCCATGTCCACAAGTCCATGTGGCTTTCTTGTTTCCTTCTCTTCTCCATTCTCCTCTTCCAGGCAGCTTCTGAGGTTTATTTGTAATAACCAGAACCTGGAAACAACCTAGATGCCCCTCAATAGAAGAATGGATAAAGAAAGTGTGGCACATCTACACACGAGGGTACTACTCAGCGGTGAAAAACAATGACATCTTGAATTTTGGATGCAAATGGATAGAAATAGAAAACACTATCCTGAATGAGATAACCCAGACCCCAAAAGATGAATATGGTATGTACTCACTCATTAGTGGATTCTAGCTATAAACAAAGGACATTGAGCCTATAGTTCATGATCCTAGAGAAGCAAAGTAATAAGGTGAACCCAAAGAAAAACATATATAGATCCCACCTAGAAATTGGACAAAACAGACAAAATCATCTGACAAAATTGGGAGCAGGGGGTTGGGGGAGAAGGGAAGGTAGAAGAGGAAGAGGAGAGGGGAAAGGGAAGGTTGAGGAGAACTTAAGGAAATTGAATAGTCTAGATGGAGGAAGGACAGAGATGAGAGCAAGGAAAGAGATATCTTGATAGAGGGAACCATTATAAGGTTAGCAGAAATCAGCCTTTAGAGAAATTCCCAGGAATCCACAAGGATGATCCCCAACTAAGACCCTAAGCAATAGAGGAGAGGGGACCTGATCTTGACTTGTCCTGTAGTCAGACTGATGATTATCTTAAATATCGCCATAGAACCTTCATCCAGCAACTGATGGAAACAGAGTCAGAGTCCCACATTGGAGCACTGGACTGAGCTCCCAAATTCCAGTTGAAGAGTGGGAGGAGTGAGAATATGAGCAAAGAGGTCAAGACCATGATGGGGCCACCCACTGAAACAGTCTGCCTGAGCTAATGGGAGCTCACCAACTCCAGCCGGACTACGAAGGAACAAGCATAGGACAAAACTAGGCCCTCTGAATGTGGCTGACAGTTGCATGACTGGGGCAGACTGAGGGGTCACTGGCAGTGGAACCAGGATTTATCCCTACTGCATGTACTGGCTTTTGGGGATCCTATTCTCTTTGGATGTATACCTTGCCCAGCCTAGATATAGTAGGGAGGGCCTTGAACTTTTCACAAAGCAATGTGCCTTACCCTCTCTGAGGATTGGATGGGGGTGGGATGGGAGGGGATGTGAAGGGAATAGCGTGAAGGAAAGAAGTGGGAACTTGGATTGGTAATTTTTTTAAAAAAATCTAATGAATTTTAAAAAAGAAAAGTTTAAAAAATTATATGTTTACAAAGGTGTTATTTAAAAAACAATAAATAAATAAATGCAAGGAAAAAAATTAAAAATAATGATAAGAAGTTATAAACTTGAGAGGGCTTGTGGGGGGCAAGGGAGGAACCAGAGGAGAGAGGGGGAGGGTGAAATGATATAAGACAGCGTCCATGTATGAAATTCTCCAAAACTAGTAGGGAAATGTGTCATGTCTGCCCAATGCAGAATTATTCAGCCACGAAGAACAACATTTTGTCCTTACAGAAAAAAAAAAAAAACAACTGGGGATCATTACAACAACTGAAATAAATCAGACTCGGAAATATTTATAAATTTAGCAAGTAATGTAGCCTAAACCAAGAGTTGCTCTGCTTTTGGTTTTGTGTTTTGAGACAGGGTCTGATAGCAGCCCAGGCTAACCCCAGACTCTTTACGTAGCTGAGGTTGGCCTTGCTACACTGACCCTTCTGCCCCCGCCTCCTAGAATACTAGGATTACAGGTGTACACACTAGGATTGCGTAACAGAATGGAGCCAAAATTGTAAACCTGCTGCTTGGAGAGATAAAATCATTAGGCAATGTCTCAAGCACTTGCATATCTTCGCTACGCAAAGATAAATTTGCTTGTTGTAAATCAAATCATAACACTAGCGGACTCTCACCTTTAGAGCTTTGGCCAGACAAAGAAGGATGCTTAGAAAACACGAGTCACCTGTTGTTCCCTACTCCACACACACCATCTTCATCTGCACAGGGTTAGTGTGTTTTCTGGGGACTGGCCATCTTGTTTATTGATAGTACAACTGGGAAAGGACAGACCAAAGCCTTTCCTCCTGATATGGCCCCCATTTAGTTCACAAATACCACACGTTCTAAGTTTCCATTGGATTCTTCTCTAAGACTGGGATTTGCATCCTTCGACAGGTGACGTTTTGTCCGTGAGTGCCCAGACTGATGGCATAGTATGAAAACCTTCCGCCACCCTTCCCTCCATCTTCCTTACTCCACAGTACGACTACAGAACAGTTTGTCTCCCTACAGACTTGTGTGAATTTTCTAAACTATCATTAATTAGAATCATGCGGCCAAAGGGGTGGGGGGGTATGAGACAGAGAAAGAGGAAAGAAAACCTTTGGCAACACTACCCAGCCAGCGTGTAATAGAATCTGCTTTTGGCTGCAGAATCTTGGACCGATTCCAGTTCAGGAAATACCAACGAAGGTGCCAGAGACACAAGGCCAGAGGGGCCCGTGGTGTTTGGAATGCAAGCACCGAGTTCCAGAAATCGGAAATTTTCTAACTGGCCACCAGATGGCCTCACTTTTCAGAACCATTTTATAGAGTTTGGTTTTAGTTCTGTAAGTTCTTGCAAAGAATGCCAAGGAAATCATAATCCAGAAGAGACAGATTTTCTGATCGAAGGTTACCAATAGCAATGGAAGTCTTTATTCTTAGGGTCTCCTGTGGGAAAATAAAATAACATGCATTTTTGAACTGATAGATCTGAATTTCTTTCTTTCCCTAGCATTAAAGACTGAGATTTCTTGAAATCCTGCTAATATTATTTCCAACCTATGTTCTCATATTTCAAAAAATTTGTGGTGCTGAAGACACTTCAATGTGTCATACATCACTTCAATGAGTCATACTTCACTTCAATCTGTCGTACGTCACTTCCGAGGAAGGTATCACTAACTGCAGGCTTCCAGTTCTTGTAAAAATGTGCATCACCTGCGCCTGTCACTCAATGAGTAGGTTTCTTCTGCTTCATTTGGGGTCTCCTGATGCAGTGCTTATGTTATTTTTTTTAAGATTATAGCACATGAAAGAATGGACTTAATTGAGAAACAATTTCAAGTCCAGGGTCAGCTTGATAGGAGTCGCTAGTCATTCCCGTTATCCATAGATACACGTCCTGGCCACGCTGGACCTCTGGATCTTCTTTCTAATTGACAAACATGCGTGAGCAGCCTTATCATCTTTCCAAACAGCCTGGTTTATCCTGAATAGCCAACGATTTGCAAGGGTTGTTTAGACACCAAATGCTAGCAACTGGAGATCCTGGAGCCCGGGGTCTTTTTCAGGATACTGTCTCTATTTTAAACTCCACTCTGTCAAGGAAGGGTGCCATGGCTTGAATATGAAGTCCTCCTCAGGAAATAGACTCGTGGGTTGAAGTCTTGATTCCTAGCAGTTATGCTGAACAGGCGATTGGGACACAGTGCTTGGTTGAATGAAGCGGGTCACTGGAGGAACGTCTTCACAGAGTCCAGCTTGGATCCCTCCCTTTCCTGTCTCTCT